AATGAAGACAGAAACCACAGAGAATAGCACAGCAGAACAATATTTTCTTAGTAAGTGGCATAAACCAGTTAGGCCAAAAACTAACAAAAATAAGAGAGGGGCATTTATTTAAAATGGGAAAATGTTTATTTAATCTGGAGAAAATTTGTTTGGCTGCCTTCTCTGGTAGGAGGGTGTGCTTTTTTGATGCAGTCAGGAACTAAGGGGAAGTTCTCTGCTCCTGTGTTATACCACTTCAGCAAACAGAGGGAGCAGATGTAGTAATTAAGTGTTCTCAAAAGGTCACAAAGTGAGTTGATTAAGTGAATTACTGAACTTAACAAAACCATGTCAGAATCAAGAGGCAATTGTGCATTCTCTTTTATGCAGTCTTGTGCTGTAAATAAAGCACTGCTCTAATGGTAACATTTTCTGTAACAGGAAAAAGATAAATGATTTTTGTTTAAACTTGTAAAAGGTCTTGTTCATGATATCAAAAATTTTCATAAACAGCACAGTCTTGCCTTGCTCTTCAAGAGTTCTAATGGTTGAAGCACTGACTCATTTTGGTAAGCTGTTCATGACTCTTTCCTTAGAGGCATGCCTCACAATAGATATTCATATTTTACAATAATGCATTTCATTGCCATATCTCAAAGTATTTTGACAGAATGAGTAAATGTTACATTGTCTGCATAACAGGAACAACAGTAGTGACACAGAAATTGCTTGCAGTAAAATTCAATTAAGAGAGAAAACTGGAAGTAGAATTCAGGCCCTCCATACCTCTCGTCTTACCAGGTATCTGAGGGTTAAGACATACATGAACTCCATTGGTCTTGTCTTTTCTGCAAATTTCAACCTTCCGCTGGAAATGCTGGCCATATTTCCTACATATCCCACTCTTCTCTACTTCATGGGATATTGTGAGAACTCATGCTGCTGAGACTAAATCAAATATTGATATTAGCCACTGAATTATAATCCTGGGAGTGGTAATGGTTGAAATCTGTTCTCAGTCCCATTCACACTACAAGCCCAGGTTTTAGAAAGCACAATGAAGTTCTGAGAGAGTCTCCTGAATTTTTCTTCTCTGGTAATTTGTATTTCTCATTTAGTCTACTTCAGTTGGGTATTTCAGTATCCATCCACATGAATGCTACTGTGTAAAAAAGTCTTTGAGTGATCCAGAAGTCATTTACATTTTTGTGAAATAGCCACATTTTTGTATGAGGCAATTTTGTGAGACACACAGAAAGCTACTCTGCAATAAAAACTAGCCTCAGGTTTGAACCATCTACTATGCAACTGTTTACCTGATAGCAGAATTAGTCTGCTGAGTAAGCTGAGTCCTCTCAAAAGGCAAATAATAACATGTAGAATAATTTTTCACCATTTATTTCAGAGAGAGCAAGTGCATGCATGAATGCAGACATGAGGATTCTTACTTTGAAGGAAAAAGAAGTGGAGAATAAAACCTATCTGAAATAGAGAGAAAAGTTTCGAGAGACTCTTCAAAGAGTCTCTCAACTAATCCCAAGGGATACTGAAGAAGTGGGAGATCATTCTGGGGAAAAAAAAGGAGATCTTGAATTGAACTCTTCACACCCTGCCTGTGTGTGTGCATGTTACCATGCTTCTTACCTCCAGAATTATTTGCTCACTCCTTGATGGGCATTGCTGTATTGTGCAATTTGGAGTTCCCTACCAAAATTAACTTGAGACCCAAGAAAGTCAATGGAGAAAAAAACAGGAGAGACAGAAATTTGGTTGAAATACCTGCTGGAGCTGCCAGTCCCCCTTCACTGACCAGGCAGCCCACAAGAACTAGCTCTCTGTATTGGAAGTCTGCCTTTGGTAACCCCCTCTAGAGCCAGCACAAGGAACCGTGCCAGAGTTCATCCAGTGATAGAAGTGTATCCTACTAAGAACTATACAAGCTTAAAACTCAGGATGTTGGTACTGAAGTGCAGCAGATATGCAGAATGCACAATATAAGATTCAGTGGTGACAATAAATTAAAAAAAATTTTTAAAAAAGGCTTTCACAACCTTGATGCCCTTTTTTCTTTCTGGCTGACCAGTAATCTCATTACAGAATGCGTGAATAACATTGTTTGAAAGAGGTTGCAGCACAAAAATGTCTTTAAGTAATTTTGTGTTGCATTAAATAAATTGTTTGGTAGTTCTGTAAATAGAAGGTGATGGTGAAGCCTGAAGAGCACTCTTTTTGCTACTAAGCAGTAGTATAGTGAATAATGTAGGAATGATTTAAAATTAAATTCCTTGATATTTCAGCAGTTCTGGATGCCTCAGTACCTCTTCAAAGATGCTTAGTTTTAACAGCAAGTCTCTCAATCTTTCCTGCAGTTACAGCACATAATGTGTTTAAGTTATATATGTATGTATGTGTGTATATAGAGGTACATAGTTACATATTGAAATGAAAGGGACCAGGAAACGGCATGCGTTTTAGAAACCTAGAGAGAGAGGTGTATGTAGTTTGCAATTGGGGAAAAAATAGTAATTAAGCAGAAAAGGGGCTGTGGAGGGAAGGAACTCTTACCTCAGGAGACAATCTGCCCTACTTTCTTTTCTCACATTTTGAAATCTATGAATCTTTTACTTGCTTTATCACTTTTCCTGATTCCCTGCAGGCCAGAGCTGACAGCTAAGCCTCCGTTTTATCTTAAACTGTTCAAAGCATGTCAGAAAATTACTTACCCTGCTGAGTCTGAAAGTGGCAGCATGATTCCAGGAACCCACCTACTGGTTACCCCCAGTCCAGGTGATCACCATTGCTTGAGTGAAATCATAATGATAGTCCCAGAACAGCTAGCAGATTGTTACAATATATGGTCTTTTACAGCTTCCAACTGAAGACCAGAAACTGAGTTGACTCTTTTTTTAATTTTCTCTCGAAGTAATTATTTATGTCTTGGGCCACTCTGATACCAGCACATAAAGATAGTATTAGTTTTTCACCCTGTGTTATTAACAGCTGTTTTGTATATTATGTGGACAGGGTCAAGCAGTTGCACTGTCTGTAACTGTCTTGACTGTTTATTCTGTGGGCTCTCTATACTGCCTTTGAATACGGCCTTTACAAATCCTTTCTATTTTTATCCCATTGCGCTTCTAAGAATTAGCTTTAAAATACACTCTTGTCACTACACTTCAGCATGATAAAATGCAGGGATAAGGTGAGTGCGGCCACATTCATGTCTCTAAAAATAGGATTCTACTGGAATTTCTACAGTAATTTCATTTTAGTAAGCTTTAACTTGTGCTGAAAATTTATATACCTCAAATAGTTCTCTGTGATGAAGCAAAATAAAGCAGGATAGGAATTGCAGACTGTTCATGCTCAGCTTGTATCATGAAATTATATGCTCGTGTACTGCTTTTCATCTTCAAAGTTTTACCATCTGTATTACCATCTCTGAAAAGTGACATGTAAGTAGCTGGCATATGAGATTCTTAGGTTGAATTTCTTCTGACTGATGACACCTGAACTTGCATTTTGCAGTTCTCAGGAGGAAGCTATAACACCATTCTTTGTTGGTGTTAGCACTTGTGAGCTGTTTCTTTTTGGATATCTGATAAGAAAGAAAACACTAATGCTAGGCACAGCTCCCTTTATTGTCACAGTGTATCTTTTGATTTTGCACTGATGAGAATGTTTGCAGGGAAGTTGGTGGTGGTGTCCTGTTAACTGGTAACCTGTTAACAACCAGGTATGAAAGTGAAAGTTAGAGGACTTGTGAATCCGTGAAGGTCTGGAGACCCACCCAGAATGAATCTTTCAGTTCTCCCCACTATACTGAGATCACAGGAGTTAGAGATGTGTACTACCATTAGTTACACACATCAGAAACTTTCTCATTTTTGTAGGGTGAAACATTTCCCAAAGGCTCTCCGAAATCAGCAGGGAGTTTCTGGATGTCATTTTGCATCTTTGCTTACCATATTGGCTGAATTCAAGCCTTCAACCCTAGTCCCATTAGTCAGTAAGCATTCTTGACAATGATGTCAGTGATTTTATTTCTTTTAAAATTTGACTGTGTTGTTGGCACAGCTGGACTCACTATGCAGTGCAAACAAGGGCAGTGGTCTCCAATTTACACTAGCTGATTATGCAACAACAGAGATGTACTAGCTTGAAATGTATACCTTGAATTAAGAAATAAATGTCAGTTATATGGCCTTTATGAACTATTTTAGGTGCACAGGAATTTAACATGAATCATGTTGCTTGCTGTAATGTCTTTCTTTGCTTTTATTATACCGAATCTTGGCCAATTTATGTGCCAATTGATTTCTGAAATTTTGGAATTTATGAGTCCCGTGAAACCTTATCGTGATGCTGTGGTAGTGACTAGTGTAAGTGTGGAGAATAAGACTGAAAAGATACCGGGTAACAGGCCTTATTGCCTCCTTGTTACACAAACATTGCACTGCAGAATTTACCATCTGAAGATGTTCCAGGCATCAGAGATGCAGTGAGAGACTTGGACAGGATTATCTTAGATAGGAAGGTTGTATGCAAGCCACTGTTGCATTATTTAGGTTAGTTAACTGACTTTATCACATATTATAAAAACGATAAAAAAACCCAGAAGGGCAATTGGGTCATTTATGTGTCCTTCATCAAAGCACAGTTCATAGAAGTAATTCCAAAATAATTCATTGTCCCCTCTTAGAGCATTGCGATGTGGTTTGGTTTGTGCCATCAAACAATCAACAGTATTTTGGATGATTTCTCCAAAAATACAGTATAGTCACTAATAGTATAGATACAGGAAGAGAAGCAGATTTTCCAAGTGCAAACTGCACAATATGAAAGCTTGGGGTACCCAGGCACACATTTTCATTTAGAGACAGATTTTGTCAGTGCTTTGCTTCTCAACTGTAAAAAGGGGACAATAATATCCCTACTTTATGAACACACAGGAAAACAATATCGGTCTTCCAGGCACCTCACAACTGAACAAATGATGAAGAATCTGCTCTCCTTATTAGATGGACAGATCTGCCAATGGGCTGATGAAAGAACCAATGCTGAATGAAAGTGATAAGCTACAGATCATTGTAAGAGAAATTAACTTCAGCAGATGCGAAGTTCTGTATTATGCAATATTGCTTGCCCAGACTTGTGGTAGCTGCTATAACTGTTTCGCTGCAGTTGGGTTGTGTGGGAAGGGGTATCAATGACATGGCTAGCGAGGCAGAATTTTTAAAGACGGTGCTTTTTTTTTTGTGCTTTTTTTTTTAAATTTTGCTGAGTAGAAATGTAAAATAAAAATCTGTATTTTAAAATACTCATTTGTTTTTCTTTCTTTCTTACAGCTTGTGGCCAATGCAATTCTTTTTGTCAGTGTAAATTTGTATGGTGTCTTTGTGAGGATTTTGACAGAAAGGGCTCAGAGGAAGGCGTTCCTTCAGGCCAGGAACTGCATTGAGGACAGGCTGAGGCTGGAGGATGAAAATGAAAAACAGGTCAGTTTCTAAGCCTTATTTCTTTCTCTCTGTTTCTTCTGAGATGACTGTAGTTATATGAACTGCAGGTCAGGACATTGCTGCTGAGTGCATGACAGGGCATGTATGTGTTTCCATTGCAAAGGAAGGGTGCTGTCTCCCCCCACCTGTTTCAGCTCTTCCTCCCCAGTGCATGCACACTCTTTGCTCTTCATCTGCAGCGCGCACAGAAGGCACAGGCTGACCCCACGGCTACTGTCAGTTCCAGCACCACAGGGGATGCATTTTAGGGCTGAGGCAAAGCTAACGTAATATTGCAATCTAAAATCCTGGGGTTTTTTTTCTGCATGGATGTTTTTGGGTGGGTGTTAGATATGCTGTAAATACTTCTCTTCTGGCTGTGTGTGCTATAACCTGTTTGCATTCATGACACCTATAAACGAAAGTCTATATTTTGGGGAGAGGGGGCTGCACTGATATACATTAATAACTGTGATAACCATCTATTCTTTTTCTCAAAAGCCACCTTAGTAGTTTGATGGTTTATTTCACACAATCTTCCAAGCAGATTTAGGAACAATGAGAAAAAACGCTATATTGTGGAGCTTGCTGTTGTTATTCACAGGTCTGAATCTTAAACCTAGTAAGATCTGTAAGGTTTGGACTATATTTTTCTTTCTTTCTAGGTGATAATAGAGGGTCATTCTGGAATACATAGGTATAACTCCATTGACCTGTGTGGAATGATGGTAACTTATGCCAATAAAGAACTTAAGCGGTATTCAGACCTTGCTATACAAAATTTTGGGGTCCTTAAAGCTTGTGTACCTCACAGTTTTACTTCCCTTCACTTGCAATTTCTCTAGCAAGTCTATTCCTGTGTGAAATAACGCAGGTCCTTAAGTACTTTCTGTTATGAATTGAGTGAATGCATTTTTATGACCTGAACATACTCTGCAATAAGTAGACAACTTCTTGGAACAACTGCATATCTTTGCTGGCTGTGTAACAATGGTATTAGGATCAAAGCCTTTAGGTTTCATTCTGGTCTTTTGTAATCCAAAGCCACAGATTTTCAAAGGCATAAATGTGCCGTAAGTGAATTTCCATGGGATTTAGGCAACCCTGCCATTTGTGCCTTTGAAAGCCCGCTTCTGTGATCCAACATGAAAATAATACTGATTTTTGTGTTTCTCTAGTTATCACATTAGCAACCTGTCTTATTTTATATTTTATCCATGCATATAGAAACACAAGAAAGCAAATTACACATAAGTACCATTATTATTGATAGTATACCTGGAGAATCCTGCAAATGTTTTTCCGATGCAGTATACAGGTCAGTGAAGAGAATGCACTTTTTTCCTACACTTGTGAAATTAACATTATGCAACAGTGTAAAACTCAATACAGTGGTGAAATATGCTAATTAGCTGTCAAAAGTACCACCAAAATACTTCCTGTGGCTGCTCTCACATTACATTAGAATACCTCTAAAACCAGGGTGAGAATTAAGACATGATTACAGGCCACAAAATTATTCTGCAGTTGCTGTGGGATAACATAGCCCAAGTTTCCAGCTGGGAACACTCAAGAGCATTTGAGAGGAAAAGAGACATTGCTGACCTAGTTCAATTTTTGTGATCATTCCTGTATTTTTGTTCTCTGAAGTACCAACATTACATGTTAAAAAGGACTGAATTTTTCATCAGACTTTCTTGTCTCATTCAAATGCTCTGACCTAAATACTGTAGCCCTTTTACATAGAGAATTGTAATCCAAAATGCTAAAACCTTTCCCTGGTATTTCTGTGCAAGTCTCTAATGGGAAAGGAAAGAACATGCTTTTGGCTTTTGAACATACACAGGCTTCTGGAGTTAAAGTGTTGACTCTGTGAAACAGATACCACAGCTGAAACTGTAAGTGAGATTTCTTCCTCTGTGTCCTATTTACAGTGATTCTCCTCATATGGGATTCATTTGTAGTAACAGTCCCATGTGATAATTTTGATAAATCTATTTTTATGAGCAAGAGCAAAGATCTCATGTTGTAGCATTTTTGGAGTCATCGTGCAGGAGTTTTCAAGTAGACTGTGAAAGTGTTGCTTGGGGAGAAGGGGAGCAGACGGGCTCTGTTTATTTTAAAATTCAGTGTAATGTTCACCTTGTTATCTGTTCTCTGTGGTCATAACAAGTAACTGGCCTTGATGCTGGCATCATCCATTTATGTTGCTGAATGTTAGACTACAGTTCCAGAGTAACACCAGATGTGAAGGCCAAGAACTAAGTAAGTTTTAGACCATGAGCAAATAATTCTAATCATTCACTTGGGATAAGCTGCTGCTTCTCATGTTGTCTATAAATCTCAGCACCAAGACCATCCTCTGCAGAGCAAGCAGTTAAGAATAAATATTGTGAGGTGGGTTCTGTTGCCTGGAACTGTGCTTGTTCTGTTCCTCTTAGTCAGAGCACCTGAGCACTTCCCCTTTATTCCCACTGCACCATCTCTCTGTGTCCATTAATTCCAGATCATCCTTTGCCCATACAGCAAGCAAGGCATTGTCACCCTGTTCCCTGGAGGACTCCCAGCATTAGATGTCCCTACTGATCCTGAGAGCAGCCTCTAAGCACTGCTTCACCCCTTCCCAAGTGAGCAAGAAAAAAGGGGCAATCAGGGATGGGGCAAGAGGGTTGTGTTCAGCGTAGAGGAAGAAGTAATCTGCTGCTGATTGAGTCTGCTTGCCATCTGATTCAGAGGGGAAACCAGTAAGGAAGTTGTGGCTTACCATGTATTAATTCCCAGCATGGCAGCTCCTGAAGTGGTGTCGTGCTCCAAGGAAGTGGTAGCATTGTAATTCTGAGGCCATCTTAATTTGAAGTGCAGCTGGACCACCGTATTTAAAGGCCTGTAGACTCCCATTTTCCACTTCTCTAGTCTCTCTTTCAGCATGCGTACAGTTTAGTTTTATCCTCCCCACAGTTTTGTGATGGTGAATTTCACTCTAATTATGTGCTCCGTGAAACAGAACTTCCTTTTATTTGTCGTAGACTTGTTGTCTGATGACTTGATTGAGTGCTCTCCAGCTCTTGTTTTGTGATAAAGTATGAGTAATCATTCTACAGTAACTTTTTCCATGCCACTCACAACACTGTAGACTTGTCTCATAACCCTGCTCATCTCTCCTTCCAAGCTGAAGAACTGTAGCCTGTTTAGTCTCCTGATGTGTGGAAGCTATTTCCTACCCCAATCTTGCCAACTTTGTAACAAATCTTACTCATGTTCCTCCCCCCCGACAATAAGAATATTTTAATGCATATTCATGCACTGGATTTGGAGATAAAGCGTATAACTTCCATCAGTGAAATGCACTTGTTGCAGCACAGGCTGATATGAAGAGTGCCTATTGTTTTCTTCTGAGGAAGGCTGGAAAAATGTTTGACTTCATGCAAACCTCCAAAGCCCACAAAACCAGCTTAGATATCTTCACTGATTTTTAATTGTGTAAGTACATGCAAATATGTTTGCAAAATAAAGACCATCTTTCAAGCACCTTCTTTATTTAGATCTTTCCTTCCCTCCTAAATGGTATTTTTGTACTTGCTTGCAACTACAACATGATGGTGGGAAAACAACTGGAGGACAGCAAAATCTCCAGAATGGGGGATTGGCTATCTTAAAAACTATTCATGAATTCACATTTAGCCTGTCAAACCATTGGGACTGGAGAAGTGTATTTAGTGGTGGCACCCATCCTTCATGAAATAGTTGTGTACTCCACTACAATGCATGAAATTTAAGTTTATTACAGGCTTTAACATAAGAAGCTGAAGGAAGCATTAAAAACTACAGGGAGTTAAGCACTGGGCTGAGACAGCGAGCTCTGTGGCTAGCTTCAGGGCTAGTCTAATTAGTTTTGCTGAGAGGTAGGGTTGTTCCCTTTGCTCATACACCACCATGCTACTGCAGTAATGCTGGTTCTGGGAGACAGACTAGCACCTCGATGTTGCTCTGCAGTGCTTCCATACATATTCACCGGATCATTTGAAGCTGGTTACATTCTCTTTATGCAATGCTGAATTGTGCATACAAAGGTCTGCATATATATGTGTATGCATTCCAAGTGTCTGCTGCATTTTTAGGGCAATATCCTTAACATTCCATATAGTAACTGGGACATCACTGAGTGAGAGATTTGATTAATAACTATTCATGGAAAATGAAACAGTGTCAGCGAAAGATACCACGTGTCTCAGTGCAGAATACTTTGAACTGCTGCTTAGAGCGTTTTCGATTCAAATTCCCTGCTGCGTTCAGATCCCCCTTCAAAACAATTTAATCTAGGTATTATACATTTTGGATATGTGTACTACCTCCTGTACCTTTGGGTAAAAGGATGGCACCCGTAGGCAGCCCTCCAGTGGTTTTGTCTGTTATGTTTAATTTCAAGCGTTTATGAAAAGAGGAGAAAAAATACAACATTATGTTTGAACAAAGCAAACCATGTTGGACTTTCATTTTGGTAATGGATAACAGGTTGCTGGGGTTTTTTTCTTCCAATTCAGCAACCAAACTGAAGAATTAGTTATTTACACAGCCTCAGGCAGAATTAATTTCTAGGGTGCCTGACAGCATGCTTATCAATGGATAATCAGGTTCTCCTCATGTTTCCCATAGTTTTTATTCTTGGAATCTTGCATCTTTTTTCATTGCAGTGCAGAAGAAAATACGAAATTTATCATTAAAACACAAGCCCTGTTTCCATAATCATTCGTACTGGCTCTGTGCATCAGCAAATCGCCCTGCAGCAAAAATTTCATCTGGATCATGTGTGGGCACAAAAACATGTTCTTGTCAAATTATCTAGTGTGCAACAGGGAGGTGATCCTGTTTTTACACAAATTGCAGGGCGAGAGATGATACCCGATCCTCTGCAAAAGTTAGCCAGTGAAATCTTTGAAAAACGTAGGTGGACTGACTAATTTTAGCTGACAGGGTAAGCCTGTACCACATTAGTGCTGTGT